TTTATTTATAATCACATCTGTCAGTTCTTGATATTTATTATAGAATGGTTTGTATATATTATTACTCTTTCTTAAATCTGTAATATATTGTATTGTTAAATAGTCTGTTTCTGTTACTGTACTGCAGCAACTGCAACCCATCATTTCCTTAGAGATTATTAAAGTATTCTGATTCTGATAGATTGCAACTGGGCGTTCACAATCTTGCTCCTGACAAATCCAAGAGCTGCCAGATTCTTACATGAATATATATGTGGCTGGGAGACCGACAGGATCGATGCAGGACACAGAGAGCACCGTTATGGAGCTGCTTCAGCTGCTCTTACCTGCGCTCTTCTTCGTGAGTGTTTTCCGTGAGGGGAGTATACCATATGTGAAAGTAATGTTGGGAGACTCTTTTATTCTTCCTGGAAACTGTGAGAGTGAAGAAGATGGAAAACTTCGCCACATACAGCTTCAGTCCCGGGATGTCGCTGCGCACCGACACGGAGTTTGGAGACCAGAGGAAAGTTTCAGAGATCGCATGAGTCCCAACTCTTCTCCCGTCTTTAACCGCTCAGTTTACACGGACAGTGGAGTTTATGGGTTCATGTGCGGTGGTCGGGAGGTGTCTGCTGTCCATGTGGAGGTTGTCGTGTTCTCTGAAACATCCGTCACAGAGGGAGAAGCGAGCAGCCTGTCCTGCTACTATCCAACTACAGCTGGCACCTGCTGGTCTGTGCGCTGGGTTAAAGACGGGGAAGATGTGTTAAGGGTTAGGGAGAGACTCGTGCAGTGGTAACAGTAACTGGGCTGCTGATGGTCGACTGTCTGTCAGCTGATTGGCTCTCACACGGAGACCTGTCCTTAAACTTGCAGTGGGCTCAGAGGGAAGATCCAAGGAAGATCAGGGGGATTATTTCTGTTACATCCAAAAAGAAGTTAGAGGGGAACAGAGGGGGACACCAGCTGCTGTGAGGCTGAAGGTCAGTGAGAGCAGCCCGGATCAGACCACCAGCACTCCTCCCCCTACATCTGTGTCTGCGAGTATTCACACGGACCCGGTCTATGCAAAAGTATCTGACAATTCACCGTCTGAAGAATTTTAAGTTTTAAATACTTTAAATTGTATTTTCTTATTTTATGAATATTTACGTTGTCAAAAGAAAAGTGTCTTTCGATCAGTGGTTTGTTCTGCAGATTATTGACAAGAGCGTTTGTATAAATCACAACAGAAAATATTCACAAATCAGTGAACAATGACCAAAGAGGATTTCTGATTAAAGCCAGGGGCAATTCTAGGATCAGAGCTTTGGGGGTGCTGAGCAGCCAGAGAGCTGCCCAGCCAGGCAAGATAAAGCTGTCTCTGTCAGTTCCTGCATCCTTAAATGTTGTCCCGAGTTCTCTCTGTCACTTTGATGCATTTAAACCCCTGTTCCTCTCTGTCCTCGTCGTCTGATCGTCTCCGTTATCAGTCATCATCATTTTACCATCTCTGTGCAAGTCTGCAAACTTCTTTATTAAATCATAAGATTCTTAAATTCATCAAGTCTCTCTGTGCCTGGGTCCTCGTCTCAAAACATGACATCACTGTTTTGTGCATTTTAACACAATTTAACCCCCACATTTGTGAAAGAAAAGCAAAACACTTTTTTTGAAAAGTCTGTAACAAAACCATCAAATCTGATCAAGGTTATTTAAATGCTGCAAAAGAAGAATGGATTGGAATAAAAAAAATACATATCATAACCTTAATTACTGGTGAGTAAAAAGTAAACTGACTGCATTTTTTGGACAGAGATTCACTTTTAATTTGTATGTATAATATAATACAGATGCATAAAAAACCCTCCCAAAACAGAATAAATTATTACAAAATATTAATAAAAACTATAAAAATGGAGGCAACTTTGCCTGTGTTAGAATGTATATAATGTATAAAAAAAAACTTTATTGCAGTTACTAATTTTACTCATTTAATATTAATAATTTTGTGTTGTAAGATTTATGACTTTCATGCTTTCATAGTGGTACTTAGGAGAGCTTGACATTTTTTATCAGGTGGTACACACTGTAAAAAGTTTGAGAAACACTGATAAGTGTATGTGTGCTTTTGGAAAACATTTAAAGCTGCAGTACAGAATCTTTGAAACAAGCTTAAAACATTTTTAGAATATAAACAGAGCATCTGCTTCTCTTTACAGCTCCTCGCTCCACCAGGGCTGTTTGGCTCTTTCTGATAGTGTGCAAATGTGATGTACGTACCGCGGCAGTCATGCAGACAACTGGACGGTCCAAAAGTTGGCCTACCTATTACTGTCTGAGGTTTTAGTAGAGTTGTGGCTGAACCGCAGAAAAATATATAATTCATTTTAATCTCCCCAATCAATTATAATGTTATGTTGCAATGTTGTTAAAGAGGGTCAAAAATGTTTCAACCCAGTTTGTTTTACAGATTCTGTATAGCAGCTTTAATATCGGTAGAACACAACTTCCAGATTGTGTGAGTAAAATTAGTTGTTGTTTTTCTTTGTCAGTTTAACAGTTTCTGTTGTGCCTGTCACTGTTCCCTGTCTGTTTTCTTACCTGCTTCTTCCTGACCTTGTTCTTTCTCTCCCTCTTTGGACTGACAATCATACACAAATAGATTGTACTCAATTAGATGAAAAATTACATTAACATGAAAAAAATTCTATTAAGCTCACTAACAAAAAGTCCTCTCTCAGTGAACTTTCAACCAAAAGGAAAATAACCAAACCACGTGAACAACCAATAAAAGATATAAACATTGAAACACTGATCCAACATTATTCTTGATTGACGGATCATTTGATTTTACACTTTTACCTGACTGTGGCTCCTTTTTTGAAAAAACTTCCTTATATCCATTATGAACCTGGCTGTCTCTCTGTACACAAACACACACACAACAGGAGTTATAAGGTTAATGGGCATTCAGTCAGTTAGCTAGTTAGTATCCATTTCAAACAGGACAGTGGTAACAACAGCAGGCTACGGACAATTATAAGTTTTAGATTTTAAATAGGCTGTATACATTTCAATGGGAGCAACAGGACGGTCAAATATCGCTGATTTTACTACAGAGCAGGACTAAACACAAGCAGCTTCAGTATTTCCCGTTTTTACTTTTTGGCTGAGTCCCAAATACATTTCGGAGAAACAGGGCGACTCAAGATAATGCAGGAAAAAAAGAGTAAAGCACAGACAGCTACATGCACATGAACCGGTTTGCTGTAAATTTCCATGCTGTGGTATCATGAAAGTCGGACGTTTAAGTCACGACTGTTTGTTGTGAAACTGACGAAGTCTAACTTCATTTATGCAGAGCTAAAATTCATTATCGAAATGTATTTACTCTTTCACAGCATTGGTTAAAGTGAAAACAATTAACGAGAGGTTTTGATGGCAGAGCTCAGCTGGGAGATGTTTTTGTGCTTTCTGACCTAATATTTGGTCTGATGACGTCATACCAACCAACCTGTTGTCTGGCCTTTTCTCTTATTTTGACAAGAGCGTTTGACTTCTGTTTGTTTATTAAAACAGTTTTCCCACATTTCCATTTAACTATATTCTTGTTTTGTCTATGTAGGGTACTTAGGGGACACGAAGACATGACACAAACACGATCAAACATTAAAATCTCAGATATTTATTGGCAGAAAAGCTGAGATTTATATCTTATAAAACTTATATATATATACATAAGAGAGAGATATATACATAAGAGAGAGAGAGAAAGAGAGAGAGAGTCACAGCAGAGGTTGTGTTTGTGTAGAAACCACACACACACACACACACACACACACACACACACACACACACACACACACACACACACACACACAGGCTTCAGTTATCCTCTATCAGGGCTCCTCTCAGTGAAAGGTGTCGTCTCCACGTCTCTGGCAGGTCCTCCATCAGCGCCTCCAGGTGTGGATCCTGATCTTCGGAACTTCCTCCTCCAAACCAACCACACAGCAGCAGCAGCAGCAGAGAGCAGCAGGGTTATGACGGCTGTGATGATGATGGGAGTGTCACAAGCTGTTGTGTGTGTGTCTGCTTCACGCGTGGGCTGCAGAGAAACAAACATAAAATAATGTGAGACCCACTGCGCTGACTCAGCAGCTGTGATGTGCTTCAGTGTTTAGCAGAGAGGTGTACTCACAGGAGCAGAGGTGCTGCTGATGATGGTGATCCTCTCATTGATCGTCACTCTCACAGCGGCAGGGCTGCCCCTCTCTCTCCACTTCCCGCTCCTTTTTGTGCCTTTATTAACACGGCAGAAAAAGTCACCTCGGTCCTCCAGCTGGACCCGCTCCACCGTCAGTGACAGGTCTCCCAGTGCAAACCAGTCAGACCTCACAGACGCTCTGCCCACAAACCCAGTGCCATATATGAGCTCCCCGGAGGAGAGGCTGTGGTTCAGCACCAGTTCCCCGTCTCTTTCCCACACAACAGAGTCCACGGAGTCCCCCTCAGTGTGGAAATAACACGGCAGCGTGAGCGTGTCTCCTTCAGGCACAGAGAGGTTGTTGTTGGAGATGATGAGGACCTCCAGCTGGATGGTGGTGACAACCTGCCCGGCGCAGGTGAACTCGTAGTAGCCTTGATCGTTGTAGTTCACACGGGTTAGCAACAAGCTGAGCGTGGATCTGTGCTCCACAAGCTCTCTGTACCTCTCTCCCGGCATCCAGACACCGTTTACCAGCTGGGCCACAGTCCGTGGACTGTCATTCCTCAGCCGGTAGATTAGACTGAATTCCTGCGCGTCACACTTCACATCAGCTTTTAACTCTACAGACTCTCCCAGAATCGCCGGTTTTCCACAGCAGCCAACAAAAAGTACACAGAGCCCAAAAAAGACGAAGACTGCACCACCTGACATCGTATCTCTGTTCGGCGCGTGGTGTGAGCTCTCGCTTGTCTTAGGAGAGGCGTGTCCCTCTGGTCTGACGTTACAGTCTGAGAGGCGTAACATGAGTTTGATATTTGGGTTATTTGGATGTGTGTGGGTTTTAACCAATCACTTCCAGAGGCTTGTGGTAAAAAAAAATAAAAATTAGGACTACACATGATCTGTTTTCAAGCATTTTCTGTGTTGTTTTTTAATTATTTACTTTTTTGGGTGCTGCCATTTCCGCATTAGGCCTACTGATTTTACACAGACTGTACAAAAGGCCAGCCAGTCGGCAGAACTCACGAACGGAGCCACATCTGCTGAGTAAAGATATCAGCAGGCTGCTGCCGGTGTTGTGCCAAAAAGTGATTGTCTGCCAAAAACTGATTTCCAATGTTTCTGTGTATTTTTTATGTGTAATATCTTTACGTATGTTCGTAAATAGACTTCGGTGAAAGGGGTTATATAGAGAATTAAAACAATATCTGTTTTTCAAGTATCTTTCCAACTCTCTGCTATTGTACTTACATTATAACCAATCCGGTCCTTTATCCCCACTTAAAATATTTTTACAGAAATATTGTAATATTTGCTGACATTTCTGCTATGCTCTTGGCCAACTTACTCTTACAAAAGACATTTTTAATGTTAATGAGATTTTTTTTAACTGCATAAATAAAGGTTATATAAAAGTCGCTGCCAAAAACTGATTGCGGCTTCTACCTTGTTACACGAATGTTGTTTGTGGCTCAAGATGACTTTATGTCATCCATGAGGAATGCATTTGACATATGTTTCACATATTATAGCCCAACAAGTTACTTATAGCAGTTTAAATACGAGCAATCAGTTTTTGGCAAATACCGGAAATCAGTTTTTGGCAGACAATCACTTTTTGGCACAACACCGGTTAGACAATGAGCGGTGAGGCAACCCATTCTCTTCACCAATCAGAAGACACAATTCTACCTCATCATTACGCACACGTCGACCCAGAGTTCGGTCCGAGCTGCAGGTGGGAAGAGTCAGCAGAGTTTTACTCACCGTGTGGATTTTCGTTCCTTCTAATGCTGTTAGCGGTGTGCGTCCATGAGACTAAACCACACCATAACTTCACCACACGGCATAAAGCATTTTACAGCCTGTTAAATCCCCTCACTCACATTATGGATGTGTGCTTCGGATTCTTGTTAAATAAATGAGTGAACGACAGCTACCTGAGTGGCAGTGGATTTTGTGGATACGTCATCACGTCAAAGAAAACATGACAAAACAGTGTATCACATCATAGATACCACACAAACACACGCACGGACGCACACAAACGCACGCGCGCTCAGACAGAAACGAACTCGGGTTGTTTATTGAACTAGCCTGGGCGTGAAGTCGAATAAAGCGGACACACCTCAGTGTAACTGTCTGATGCATGTGTTCAAAGGCGCGACACACGCCCTGTGTTGGATTCTGTCCATATGAGCTGACGGACGGATGAGACGCGGTTTTACAGATAATGAAAAGAATTCTCGGCTATTTAAAACAAAAAAAGGCATTCGTTTAAACTTCATAAAGAGTTGACTGCTGAAGCCTTTTACAGCTGCACTAAAATGGAAAATGATGGCATTATCTGTTGAACTGTTAGAAGTCTGATGTTTGATCTTCATTTATTTTGTTTCATTTTTCTACAGTAGATTTATTCGCAATCGTGCTTATGTTTGAAGATGTTTCTTACTGAAAAAATACATCGATTATTCTTGGCGGGACACGAAACTCGAGTTGACACTGTGCTACGCATGCTTGTCACATAAAGAAAACATTCCGTAAAACACGATCAAACATTAAAACGTGTAGGCTACTAATGTTTATTAGCGGGAAGAGTCCACGCTCCCCCAAAAAGGAAAACTAAGACTAAGAAGAAAGCAGGCGTGTAATGTCCCACGGAGCATGGTTTCACGGAGGCCTGCGGGGAGAAGGGCCCTGACGTGCTGCTCATTTTGCATCATTGTTCTGTTCAAACTGGGTGAAACTTCAGCAGGACCACAGCTCCACAGCACTATTAAAAGATCCAGCAAAGGATGGTGTAATGCTGGCTGCATCATTCCACTAAGTCAGTGATGCGTGATCGATGTCAGCTTCATAATGTCGTTTTTCTCTCCCATGCAGGATGAAGAAGGAGACGAAACACTCACGGAGATGTAATCCTCGATTTTCTACCTGCACATTTTCATCAGTCATGTTCAATAATAACATTTATCCCTCACACAAAAAATATGAGCGTCACACTTTTGTGCACACAACCCTAAAATGTAACAGCACAACAATCTGTGTCAAAACCTCTTGGAACAGTTAAATTATTTGTTATTTGTAACATTTTATAGCACTTTTATTCTGCTTATATTATTATATACTCAGTATATTGTCCTGCTTGTTTGTACAGATTTATAATCTTTCCTCTGTTTACTTTTCTCTTTTGTAAAAAGCCAATAAAGTTTTGAGTTGGTAACAAAGTGACGCTGTAACCTGATGCAGATGACAAGTGAGAGAAAACAATGAATCCTCCATTGTTTGTTTGTCTGCCGTGACGTCTATGAATAACTGTTTTGCGCTAGCAAAAAGAAGGGAGAGGCTGCCATCCCGAGCCAAGAAACTTTCAGGCTGATAGGTATTTGATAGGTAACCTGTCATCTTATCAGGATTAATTACATCAATTACGTTTCATATTTGAATGTGAATAGTTTAGACTGAAGAGGATTAACAGCTAGTTACAACAATATTACCGCCCATCCCTCACTGCTGCTGTTTTTCTATTGTTTTTAATCAGTAACAAGAAAAACTTATTGGAATGTGAGCAAAAGAAAGCACCAAATGTCATCACTTAGTCTTGGTAAACCTTTGATAATGACTCTGGCAGGCTGCCCAGTGATGGAGTGGCTTTGACTGAGAACAAGCAATCGTGTGCAGGAGGTCACCGGAGACATGTTGTTTTGTTGTGTTTTATTTATTTAATTTTGTATTTGATTCATTTATACAACACGGACGATACATGTTAACATGACTGCTGCATTGAAAGCTAAGTAGAAGACATTGTTGCATTTAGTGACTCCACAACATCAACAACAATTCACAAAGATAACAGGCGAGGAAACATGAAACCCTCCAGGCAAGTATTCTGAGCAGTCTCAGTCTAACACACTGTAAACACTGCAATAGTTACACCTTTTTTTAACATGCTCATTTTTATTTAGTGCTGCTGTAAATATTTCTGACATTTATTTATAATCACATCTGTCAGTTCTTGATATTTATTATAGAATGGTTTGTATATATTATTACACTTTCTTAAATCTGTAATATATTGTATTGTTAAATTGTCTGTTTCGGCAACTGCAACCCATCATTTCCTTAGAGATTATTAAAGTATTCTGATTCTGCTTTCATTTCAAAGCTTTCATTTAGTCTGTTTTTATTTAAACTTCTGTCATTTTATGTTTATATTATTAGCATTTATTTGTATGCATGTAAGTGAATAAATAGGTTTCTTACAATGCTGGGATGCTCGTTTCTTCTGTCACTACAGCAGCAGTCCACTCCACAGTGAGTCAGGCTGTGACGTTACTGTCAATCCTGAAGCCAAGTAGGTTGAAGGTGAAGATGCTGGGAAACTTTCTGATTCTCTCTGCATTTCTTATCATATCTCTGATTTGTCTGTGAGGGGTTTCCTCTCGGTGTGGCACTCCTTTTGCCATCTTTTGACTCTTTGTCCGTCTTCATTCTTCAGCTGCATGTTTCTGGCCTGCTGTGTGTGGCAGTGCTCATCTCTTGGCTTTGTTCTTTGCAAAAATAAAATTAAAAAATGCACAGTCTAACCTGTTTGTCCACATTCAAGGCCCTGCTGCTTAACGCCACACTGCGGAAAAAACACTTGTGTGTGTATAAAGTCAAACAGGAGAAAATCACAGGTATTAACAGATCAGGGGTAACTTTCTTCAATGATGTTAATGAAAGCGACATCCAGAAAACCTCATTAAAACCAAAATGTCACATTTCACAATATCGCCCAGCCAAGTTTAAACATGGAGCCACTCATATGCTTCTGCCTGAAGCAGCCCGAGCAGAACTATGATGATATCAGAGAAAAAAAAAACACTTTACGAAAATGAATCATCAGAAACAGAACTACGAGGGCAAAGTTCTGCAGTCTCATTGAGGTTACTAAACCAGTGCTTAAACTGTTTAGTACCCTACTGTTTGTGACAGTAAGGCCACGTTTGGTTGTTTTTGTGGACAATCATCTGCACAGCAAACACTAAACGCTGATTGGTTGACAGTTTTCTTTCGACAATGTAGAAATGCATAAAATAAAACAAACAAAAATCCCTACACCTTAAAACATCAGATGGTGGACTTTCTGTGGGAGTGCTGAGAAGGTGCTGTGATTGTTCCTTTTAATCTGTGTGCCTTCTCCCGGGTCTTACAATGACCTTATTTGTTCTCTCATCCAGACAAATCAAGCAGGTGACATTAAAAACACAGGCAGGGAGAATAATGTTACACACCAAAGGATTGTTATGTGTAAATCGGTGTTTGTTCAATGAGAAGCTGGAAGATTGTCATCCACCCACAGGACTTGTATTTTATTGATATCAACCTGTTGGGCCACTTTCTCATTCCTCTCGCATTTGTTATTATATCTCTGAGGCGTGGCACAGTCCCTGCACGCTAAATTTCTCGCAGTTTATTTCAAGCATAGACTAAAAAAAAACCAATCCAGGAGGACAACGCTGATGTGAGAGAGATTATCACAGCATAACCCCCTTGGCCTTACCAGATTAATCAAGCACAACGAATCGTTTTAAAATAAGAAAGCATGAAAACAGCCGCGAGGAAATAGAGACAGGTCATTTTTAGGTTCTTTTCATATTCTTATATGGGTGCCTAAACTCAATTCTTGAGGGGGTGGGGGGAGGGGGGCTGTTGACAGAATAAACTACAAAGCACATGTTTCATTTCAAATGATTCATTTCAAATGATTCATTTGAAATG